TAGTATATTTATCAAAAGCAATGAAGAAATACTTAGAAAAAATAGAATGGAGGAATTTCATTGCCATCAAGCAGACACTGCAAGGGATGTTAATAAAAGTACTTCAGGTCAAAAGAATATTATATATATATCAGAAACTTGTGTTTACACCAAGAAATAAAGTACATAAAAATAAAGGTAACTGTTCTAAAAGGTAGCTAGTGGTTTAAAACAATAAATAATATATACTGTTTTTCCAGCATATGTAAAAGTAGTGTAAGTCTACAAGACCACAAAGGATCAGTGAGAACTGGAAATATACTATTAAAAGGCTCTTATATTGAAAGGGAAACGGTATGATTTCATTTAAAGGAGGCCTCAAATTATTTTAAAATATATATTATAAACCCTTGGGAGAACCATTAAATATGTTTTTAAAGATGAATAAAATAAGAAGGCCAGGCTTGGTACCGGCAGTTTGGGAGGCTGAAATGGGCAGATCACAAGGTCAAGAGATCGAGACCATCCTGACCAACATGGTGAAACCCCGTCTCTATTAAAAATACAAAAATTAGCTGAGTGTGGTGGTGCATGCCTGTAGTCCCTGCTACTAGGGAGGCTGAGGCAGGAGAATCGCTTAAACCCAGGAGGCGGAGGTTGCAATGAGGCGAGATTGTGCCACTGAACTCCAGCCTTGTGACAAACACTACATCTCAAAAAAAAAAAAAAGTTAATAGGAGAGGTTAAAATGTAATAATAAAACATGCTTGATTAAACTCAGAGAAGCCAGGCATAGTGATATGCACCTGTAGTCCCACCTTTCCTGAAGGCTGAGGCAGAAGGATCTCTTGAGCCCAGGAGTTTGGGGCTACAGTGGGCTATGAATGTGCCTGTGAATCACTATTGAACGCCAACCTAGACAACATACTCAGACCCTGTCTTAATCCCAGCACTTTTGAAGTCTGAGGTGGGCTGACAAGTTGGGGCCAGGAGTTGGAGACCAACCTGGGCAACATTAGTGAGATCTTGTCTCCAATAAAAA